ATAAATCTAAAAAAAAAAAAAAAAAAAAAAAAAAAAAGAGAGAGAGAGAGAGAGAGAGAGAGAGAGAGAGAGAGAGAGAGAGAGAGAGAGAGAGAGAAAGGTTCATTTTATTAAGTACTGTTTCCTCAAAGTACCAAGGAAAGATTTCCTGGAGAGATGACTTAAAAATTAACTTCAAGATTTATCAAAGTAAAGACTCTCAAATATTTGTAGCACATCCCAAATTTATACAAAATATAAATTATAAAATATAAACCTTTATTTCCCTAAAAACATTATTTTTTTAATTTTTATTATTTTGAAGACATCACATTCTTCAACCTAATTGTGAGTATAAGACATAAATTAGAATGTGGTATTTCCTTTTCAACCACTTCAAACATAATAATACATCTACTTTTAAGTCTTTTAAAGTTTTTTGAGATTATAACCTATGGGGTGTTTTTTGTTTTATTTTGTTTTTCTGTTTTTCAATACAGGGTTTCTCTATGTAGACCTGGCTGTCCTGGAACTCAGTCTGTAGACCAGGCTGGCCTTGCACTCAGCGATCTGTCTGCCTCTGCCACCCAAATGTTAGGGATTAAAGGTGTGTGTCACCACCGCCTGAGATTATAATTTAATTACAATATTTCTTCCTTCCCTTTCCTCCCTCCAAACCCTTCCATGTACCTGTTCCTGTTCTTCAAATTTATGGCCTCCTTTTTCACTAATTGTTATTACATGTAAATATGTACATACATACATATTCCTAAATATAACCTGTTCAGTCTCTATAATACTATTTGTATGTATGTTTTCAGGACTGAACATCTGGCATTGGACAAACAATTGGTGTGCTCTTCTCTGGGGAAGACCACCTCTCGTGCTCCCAGCTTTCTGTAATTGCCTATAGCTCTTTGTGTAGGGCTGAGGCCTCATGGGCTTTTCCCTATGCAGTTTGGCATACCAGTTGGTGTCATCCTTATTCAATTTTTAAGTCTTTTTATGAAAAGTTAACTTTAAAGAATAACAAGATGCTAAAAAACTATAGTCTAATGTGTAAAAAAAGTTATCTAAATATTAATGCTAAATGGCTTTAGAGCTCTCCTAGCCTCCACTTATGTAAGAAGGTTTCTGTAGTCAAATATGAAAAAGCAGTAGTATAATTCCTGCTGCTGAATAATGAATGGAAAGAATTAGACATAGACCAGCACTCTGCTACTGAGTTACAAAAGAAATAATTTAGAGCTAAATTCCCTCAGCTAGAAACAAGAAAGGAACAACAGAACATAATGTCCTACAGAGAAAATCTAATCTTCACCATTCCTACTTCTCATGAAGGGCCTATAAATAGAAAATAAGTAAACCCACATTAATAAGCTATGAAAGGAAAATATTTTCAGGAGAGATGAAAGTGAATGCTTCAGGATTCCCACCTAGGAGGCTCCAGAAAATGCTGATTTAGACTAAAACAAGTCCTTCAAGAGATACTGCTAACATGAAGTCAGTCCAGCTTTCTCCATCATCCAGTAACCCCAGGCCTATGATAAAAATCCATGGTGCAAGTATCAGACTCAAGTGGAAAAGCCTACAACAACTCTGAATTTGGGTTAAATGGCCATAGGTACATTAGAATCCAGACTATAATAGACTAAAATTTATCTACCTACCAAAAGCTTATCAAAATTGACCTCTAGATGCCAGGTGGTGGTGGCGCACACCTTTAATCCCCCAGCACTTGGGAGGCAGAAGCAGGTGGATCTCTTTAAGTTCAAAGCCAGCCTGGTCTACAGAGAGAGTTCCAGGACAGCCAGGGCTGTTACACAGAAAAATCCTGTTTTTGAAAACAACAACAACAAAGAATTGACATCTAGGAAATGCCTTCAAGTCCTCTAACTGATGAAGACAGCATTCATTTTCAGGCTTCATTTCTAGGCTTCTTCAAGAATGACAACAAGTTTTTTTTTTAAGAATTATTATTTTAGGAGCTGGAGAGATGGCTCAGTGGTTAAGGGCAATGACTGTTTGACCAGTTTCTATTCCCAGTACCCACATGGCTGTTCTCAACTGTCTGTAATTCCAGGTCCAGCATCCTCACACAGACATACATACATACAGGCAAAACAGCAATAAAATAAAAAATAAACATTTTTTTAAAAAAAGAATTATTATTTTAAACAAGGCGATGGTGGTGCATGCCTTTAATACCAGCACTTGGGAGGCAGAGGCAAATGGACTTCTGAGTTTGAAGCCAACCTGGTCTACGCAGAGAGTTCCAGGATAATCAGGGCTACACAGAGAAATCCTGTCTTGAAAATCCAAAACAAAATGACAACAAAAAAAGAATTATTATTTTGGGGGTAAGACATATATCATGGCATATGTATGGAGGTCAGAGTTCAACTTTATGGACCATGTTCACTCCTTCCACCTTTGCATGGGTTCCAAGTATCAAACTCAGGTAGTCGCACTTGCATGAATTTGCCCATCTTGCCTGTCTAAAAGTTTCTCAGTTGATAGCAAATGATAAATTTGAAGAGCAGGTGCCTCTAACCCACATATGCCCTCTGTAGGGATTTAGCTCAAGTCAACAGAAGCCCACTTATCCCTGCAGTGATTGTCTTTCATTCTCTAGCATCGTGAGATAAACATTTCACAGTAAGCATGATTTCAACAATCCCTTTGAGGATAACCTCAAAAGAGAGTTGAGCATACTGACCTTCCAAACGTTCTACAAATAATCGCTTCAAGCTTTGGTAAATACCAATTTTGATAGTGCCATATGATGCCTGTCTTAGTAAAGCAGGGGCAATTCTTCCCAAAAAGAGAGAAAGAGAAAAGTTAATTTTATATAACACACATTTGTAGATTTTACAATTCTTTTATCTATATCCTTCCAAGCAGTATAGCATGCTTTTTTTTACTCACCCATGAAGAAAGAAAGCTCATATCCCACGTCATAAAACATACATCAACAAAGTAAAAAGAACTAAATTTAGATAGAATATATTTCCTGACCATAATGGAAACAAACAAGAAAATGATAAGGAGAACGCTCAAACACTTGCAAATCAAACGATACACATCTAAAACAACATGTGGGTTAGAGAAAGCTACAAAAGAAGTTTTCTCAATGTATAGATATGAGTAAAATTTCAAATACATCCTATAATATGCATGGGGAAACAACAACAAAAGAAAAGGACATCATGAATATGAGCGTGAGGAAAGAGATACATGGGAATGCATGGAGAAAGAAAGGGAAAGAGGAAATAATGTAATTATAATTCAAAAATTTTAAAAATATTATTAAAAATTTTAATACATGGGATACAGCTAGGTCTGAAAGTACAGGTCTGTAACCCAAGCTACTTGTGGGCTAAGGCAAGAGTTCCAGACCTGCCTGAACTAGAGTGAGCACAAAACAAGCATGAGCAGCTTAATATGGCCCTTTCATAGAAAAAGTAAAAAGAAAGTAGTTCACAGATAGAGCACTTACATAGCATTGCTAGGCGCTAGGTTCAATCACTAATATTAAAAAACAAAGAGGGGGCAGAGAATATGCAACCAAAGCATAGCTGAGAATAATTTACAGTCAAATTCTTACCCTAGCAGAGTAAATTCCCCAGAAGCCAACCTCTAGAACTATGAAAAATTAATGCCTGCTATTTATAAGTGACCAGGCATAAGGTACTTTGTCACAGTGGCCCAAACTAATAGTATTAAAAATTTTACAAAATAAAACTGAATTCATAGTTTTTTAATTTTTCAGATTTGGTTTACTTTTGCATTACATATATGGGTGTTTTGCCTACAAGTATGTTGGTGCACCATGTACATGCAATGCCCATAGGGGCCAGAGGAGGGCATAAGATCTTCTAGAACTGGAGTTACAGGCAGTAGTTTAGTTGCCACGTGGGTGCTGGAAATCGAACTCAGGTCCTACAGAAGAGGAGCCAGTGCTCCTACCTACTGAACCATATCTCCAGTCCCATTGAATTAACAGTTTTATTAAAGTTCATAAAATAGAAATTCTCAGTCCAAACATGTTTACTGAGGAGCTCTATAAAACCACTGAAGAATTACCATTAATCTTACACAAGCTCCCCAGGAAACGGAAAAGGGAATGTTTCCCCAATCATTTTGGCTAGTATTACTTTGGTAGCAAAAAAAAAAAAAAAAAAAAAAAAAAAAAAAAAAAAAAAAAAAAAAAAAAAAAAAACAGACAAAAACAGTACAAACAAAAAACACAGACCTATATCGTTCATGAACTTAGATGCAAAAATCCTTTAGAAAAGATGAGCAAATTGAATGTAGCAATATACAAAAGAGTTAAAACACTAACCCATACCTCATAGGTTAAAAAAAACCTTGACCTTTATTTCCTAACAACTGCAGATACATCTTTAACTTAATCAAAAAGGAAGCCAACAGCACCAAGATTTCAGCCTACTTAAATTCTGCTCATAAACTGAAGATGTTCTCACTCATGCCTCCTTTGAGATTCATCCAAATTGCAGAACTATACTTTAGGAGATATAAATAGAAATAAAGCAACAGCTCAAATGGTTAGGATTGAAGAAAAAAACAGATGACTAAATCTGCATATTTCTGACTGTTACTTGCATTAGAAAAAGAATTCCAAGGTTATCTATGCTAATAGAGGAACAAGGTAAAAGAGATGATCCATGGATAATTTAATTCTAAATAAGGATCTTTTTTGTTTGTTTTTTTTCTTTTTGTTTTGAATTTTTCTCCAAGAAAACTATAATTTAAATAAACCCAACCCAAATTACTAGTAAAATTGATTTCCAATCTCTCAGCAATACTGGTAGCCTAGATTTAGGATAGCCTAGGAAATCAGCAGCAGGTGAAGTACAAACTGGACAATAAACCATAAACTGATGCGTAATCAAAAGGTGATGAAAAAAGATACTCCCTTTCTTCTATTCTTCATTCCTATTTAATCTGCCAGAATATTTCTTTCACAAAAAAAAAAAACTTTAAAGGAAGCCAGTGCTTGCCAAATCAGGAAAATTCTCAGAAGAACATACACAGCTAATTGTGCTGCTTTTTACAACAGTCATCAGTAAATGTCAGGAAGCCAGAAAAAAAAAAAACCTTATGCTGAAATGATATTATCCACTTTCACATTTATTCCATACAGCCAGATTAACACAAATTCCAAAGCTCAAGACTTACAAGCAAATGAAATATACAAAAGCCCACCAATACAGAATTACAAGTCAAAATGGTGACTATGAAGGGTATAAACTAGCATGTAGTTGTTCATGCTCCAAGGAAAGAGGCCAGACTTACCCTGAATACAGAGCCAAAATCCCCTCTTCTTTATAGATTCGGAACAAGGCATGAAACATCCCTCTATATTTTATCTCTTTGAAGCGGACATCGATGCTCTGGCCTTGGACTTGCAGCCGTGTTTTAGTAAGGTCCACAGGGAAAGTGCCTATGAGGGAACACACTCCTGAGCATTTACAAAGAACACAGGTATGTTTTGGCTAAATATAAGGCAATGCAATAGTGGCAATCTAACACAGGGTCCTTTTCATAACACTCAGATATGCACTCCACCGTCACTGACAGAAGGTAAAGGCTTTTAAGTGGAGTGAAATGCACTAGGCTCTCTAGGAAGCACGACTTGCCACACAGTATATCTGACACTTTCTGCCAGAAATGCAAAGGCGTTTGGATACTTCTTTTCCTTCGTCTGTAACATACTAATGCCAACAGCATTTGTTAGTCTTTTCCTCCCACCCTTTCCCACCTCAAGTCTCCTTATCTCCCCTTCATAAAATCTCCCCACATCATCGCAAGCACAGGAACATCCAGGATTGCTGAATCAGAGGTTCTTACATGCAGTAACAATAGGGTATGAGCATGTGTATTTACGACTTCCTAATACTATGACAGAAATTGGCAAAGTCTCACTTGGTTCTACTTACCATGGTGTCTTTGATAGTTCAGGAGTAATACCAATAGAGTACTTGAGCCATTAGTTTTTTCAATTATGTGCTACTTCTTTGTATGCATGTGTATGTATGTGTGTGGATATATCTGCCACGGCTCATGCATGGAGGTCAGAGGACAGCCTGCAGGAGTTGGTTCTGTCCTTCAACCACATGGGTCCCAGGGATCAAATTCAGGTTCGGCAAGCTTGGCAGCATGCATCTTTACCTGCTGAGCCATCCTGTCGTCCCTAGCCGGATTCTTCAAAAAACAAAAACAAAACTCCCTTTTCTTATCTCAGCACATAAAAGTGGTTGTTGCATGAACAAAATGGGTTTTAAGAAAGATTTTAAGATCTAAACCTAACAAGGTGTTTATATATTTAATTCTGAACTTTGGGGATCTGGATAGTGCATGACCAGAGCACATACCAAGAAAGGCAGAAAACACTGCAAGATTGTAGATACTTAGGAAACATTCAGGGAAAAGAAAACTCTGGAAAATGAAAAGTTACAATCTAAAAATATTTCAAAATTTAAATCAAAAGAGAGATGACTCTTGTTTGATCTTATTTACTTCTAAAATGGAAGAAAGCTTTGCAAAAAAAGAAGCCTGGATAAGAAGAAAATTATAGACTTAGCATAAATGTAAGACCATTAATACAGGAATACACAGAAATCATTGTCATATATAGTCCTCTATGATTACACATATTTGGCTTGGAAAAATTAACAAGTCACTAACTTATCAAAAAAAAAGGTTCAAAATTTGACTTCTTAACCTCATTCACCTTATCATTACTAGTACCTTCTCAGTAATGCTGTTTGATAGCCATGCAAACAATAATATTATTTTTTGGTTTTTCAAGATAGAGTTTCTCTGTATAAGAGTCCTGGTTGTACTGGAACTCTGCAGACCAGGCTGGCCTCGAACTCTTCTGAGATTGACCTGTTTCTGCCTCCCAAGTGCTGGGATTAAAGGCATGCACTACCACCACCTGGGGCAACAACAATTTTTAAAACAAAGATGACAACACTCTTTTGATTTGTTCTCTGTTTCCTCTAGAAATAACTGGTAGCATGCATAACCATCTGTAGCACAAAACTCATATTTGTCATCCTTTTTTTTCAGATTCTTACCGAACTCGGCAACAATAGAGGCAAGGCCGCCATACACAAAAGGTTTCCAGTTCAGACCAGACATCTCATGGCTTAAAGTGGGACTTTTCTGATGCTAAAAATAAACACGAATTAGAACAGGGCACAAGAATGAAAAATAGTACCAGTTAACGCTTGAGTATATGATTTGAATCAACACAACTGGCAAACCAAAGGAACATGGAAGAAAAACTAAAAACCAACAAGTGGGATGAGACAAAACAGAGAGTCCTGCCTCAAAGTCTGGATGCTTATGAGTTTCTTCTCTAATGTCATTCTGTAGGGTAGGTGTACAATCACTTAAAAATGAACATGTGCCCTTCATGCTCTCTAATTTAATCGTCCACTCTTCCCCACCCCAAGAAGCTTCAGCCCATTCATCCAGAACACCCATCTTTGACATTCATCTAGACAATCATGGGTCAGGGAAACTGAAACTGAAGTTACATAGGCTGAGGCATCTTATAAAAGCAGTTCATGGTATTCAGTTAGCTTGATTCAGGCACAAGACACAAGCTGCCAACACTACCCCCAGAACATTCTCAGCCTGTTCAGCTCTCCACTAAAATTTAGCATCTCAGTTCTAGGAACTGAGCTAGTTTTACACCAAAGCAGCTAACTCAGTGAGACCCACGCTGAGATAAGGAGCAATGTACCTTGCTTCTGGCTCCTGGAGAAATGACAGCAGTGTGGATATATCCCATTTCTGACCCTGAACATCATCCTTCCAGTGATCTCCTTTCCCTTACCCCTGAACTGTAATAACATATCCTAGGACTATACTTTTTATGTTCTAATTCTTTATTGATGTATTTCTGTCCCCCGCCCTTTTTACTCCGCCCCCCCCAACAAATCAATCTTAGATCTGTCATCCTAAAAATCTTCAGTTTTGTCAGGGAGGTGGTGGTGCACACCTTTAATCCTAGCACCCAGAGGCAGAGGCAAAGGCAGGCAAATCTCTTTGAGTTTGAGGCCAGTTTGTTTGACAGAGTGAGTTCCAGGACAGCCAAAGCTATACAGAGAAATCCTGTCTCAAAACACAAAACAAAACAAACAAAAACAACAACAACAAAAAAATTCATTTTTATTTTTTCTGCCACTCTCAGCGCCTTCACTCTTGGATTTGTTTTTCCACAACTCTAGCATCTAGGCAAATATTTCTCAAATTGTAGCATGCAACAGAATCATCTAAAAGGTTATTAAAACATGGACTGCAGAGCCTTTTTCTCAGAGTTTCTGATTGTTTTAAGTCTTGCCCTGAGAATCTGCAAGGTCTCAAAGAATAGTGATGCTTTAAGAAGGAACTATTGCTGTAGGCATCACCTGCTAAATCCTGGTCCTCTTGAAAACACTACTACTTTTTAAAACAATCTCAGATTTCCTTGAACTATTTCCTTCTTTTTCAGTGCTTCGATATATACTTCTGATTTCAAAAGGGTTTACAGTCAAAAAGGAACACCCTGAAATCAGATCATCTAACACTGAATCATGGCTTCAGATTCACATCTTGACTATCATTTACTAGTTGTTTGTAGGAAAGTTATTCAATCTGTCTCTGCCTTTATTTTCTGAAAACAATAATAATAAAAACATATTATAGGGTTGTTGTGTTGTATATAAGTAACACATTTTTAACACCTAGAAAAATCCTTGAAACTTTGCTTAATAAGTTAGATAGTTATTACTACACATTTTAATAAATGTATTTATTAAATAAAATAAATTCTTTATTAATAAATAAATAAATAAAATAAATACATTTTCATAGATAGCATTTCCTGTCCATCTTCGCCTTGCCAGTTTGGGTTAGTACCATTGAGCTACCATCTGTTCTTAGAGGAAACAGGGTTTTGATTTATTTTTTACAAAAGTAATTCTCTGAAACAAAGCTACGAGTTATATATTGAATATGTAAGAGATACCCCTATTGGAGGAAAGTTCATTAAAACTCTAAAGAGCAAAGTAGGAATTGATAGGAAAAATAGGACTATGGCATAAAAACAACAAGAACAACAAAACCCTTTAAATCAGATGTGGTGGCCCATGCTTGTAAATATAGCAACTAGAAAGTGGAGTCAGGAGGATCAGTAATTCAAGTCATCCTTTCCTACATAGGGGGTTTGAGACCAGCCTGAGCTACATAATACCCTTGTCTCCAAAAGAATGCACAAAAAGGAAGGGAAAAAAAATCACTCTCTGGTGACAAATTTAGAGATTTCCCTAAATAGCCTTTGATATTTCAAATGTCTGCTGAGCTTCTCCCCCAGACTTTCCGTTTACAACTTCACGCACCCTTTCTCAGTACAGGAAAAAAATTCTACCACATCTTTACTACCTACTAGTCAATGTTTCAAAAAATATTTAGTGTCTAAGCATTATTTTTTTTTTGTGTGTGTGTGTGTATGAGTGTTTGCTTACACGTATAACTCTGTACCACATGCATGCCTGATGACCACAAAGGCCAGAAGAGGGTGTTTGATTCCTTGGAACTGGTTACAGGTGGTTATGAGCTGCCATGTGGGTGTTGGGACTTGAACCTGGATCCTCAGGCTGAGCAGCTACTCCTCTGAACAGCTGAGTTTTCTCTCTAGCCCTCTACTCAGTCTCTTAACGGAAAATGTGCTCAGGATTCAGGAGCAATAACAAACCACTAAAAGTTGGGCCAGAGTCAAACTAAGAAACAGAAAGGCCAGTCACTGGTTCTTAGGTCAGGTAGTCCAGCAGTTCCCAATGAAGTTTCCACAATTCAGAGGTGATAGGAAAACAAAACCAAACCTAGGGCTGCTTTCTTTTTTCAGTTAAATGTATGTCATTTAAATGGCTATTAAATCATATTGTTTAGCCCTAGAGCACTGGCAAATCGCCTCTCTTACATAAAATGATAATAGTAGTAGGTAGTTGATAATATTTAGTGTCTTTATTTGGCAAAAGAAGCATAGTGATCTTTATCTGTCTCCCCTCCACCACATTTTCATTTCAATTTCATTAGTCTATAAAATTATACAAACCTGGAGAAGACTAACCAAAACCAACAATGTCCCTTTACCACCTCCCCAGTCACATCTGATAGTAAAATCTTTCGCGCCAATATCAGAAATCAAAGTCATGAAAGAAATTTTTTATTTCCTTTGATTAGACTTTATACAGCCCTTCCTCACACTAGAACCACTTGGAGGCACATTGAACAAATTTATGTTTCCACAACGGAGTCCTTAAATATTTAAAGGCAGCCTTCATATTCCTACATTTTTCTTTTCTAAGGCTAGATAATCCTGATCATTTTCTTCATTCTATATGTTTTACTTCAGCTACTATAGCTGAAAAACCTTTGTTTCTTTTCAGAGAGGCTTACTATACAACTGAAGCATTAAAGTTCCAGCAAATACCAGAGTCTTTTACATAAAGCTGTATATATATATATGTGTGTGTGTGTGTGTGTGTGTGTATGTGTGTGTGTGTATGCAAGTTATGTCTCACCTATTATTGTTAAACTATGTGATTTTTTTAAGAAAAATTTTCAGAAATTTGTTTATTCAACATCTTAAATTCAGGCATAAAATGATGACTAGCGTGAAGTATATTCTCTAGTTGTCTCGTCTCTTCTCCTCCTCTTTTAAATAGGGAAGATTCCCTAAAAGATGACACCATATTTCACAAAGCTTTTTATAAACCTCATAAAAACTTGTATAGAATGAGGACAAATGTCAAACAGTTGAGTGTCTTACATACACATCCTGTATATAAGCAGTTATAAAGCAAGCCACAAAAGTAATTTGCTGGACCTGGACAATAACACACACCTTATACAACACTCTCCTGATTCCCAGATTCTCTACCTATAAACACTTGTCTCTTGCTTTTGATGAAGAGGATTGCTTTGTAAAGCAATTCATATCCCAACTCCTCATAAAGTTATTTTGACTTGTGGAGGCTAACCTCAGTTTGGGGTGAAGGGACAGAAATAATATCTAAGTAGCAATACAGTACCCTACATATTTTATTATTTTAAAAAGCCAATAAAATTTGTCTTCACAATTTGTGCATCTATTCTTAGAATATAGCCCCTATATTTATTTCAAAGTCTGTTCAGGAAATTCTGGGTGATGACGCTCTTGGTTTCTCCTTTAAGAAAGAGTAGGTGTTAGACATGTTCATGTTTGCAAGATAGCAATAAGAAACCTAAAGCTATGTGTTAAAGGCATACTAATAATCAAACCTGAAATTGTCTATGAATATAATTGTCAAACTTTTAAAAATCACAGCCTGGTGTGGTGATGTATGTCTTTAAATCCAGCACCTGAGAGGCACAAGCAGGTGGATCTTTGTGCATCTGAGGTCAGCCTGGTCTATATAGTGAGACCCTGTCTCCAAAAAACATTTCACAGAAATATAGTCTAACATAGACACTATCTGCCATTCCACGTATCTTTCCTGGACAATCATCTGGTGGAACAAATTAAATATTTTTGCTAGAGAAAAATTGTTAGAGACAAATTGTTACACTGCATAGAAATCTATAAAGCAGGGAAGCACGGAAAAGAAAACAATAGGCATGCGTTTGCATAATTTGGAAAAACTGTTGGAAGTGAGAGAACTTAAATTGGATCTCAACAGTGAGCAGACTGAATCCGGGTAGGAACAAATATCTGGGAAGGGTGAGCAGGGTACATAAAGACAAATGTGCAAACACACACAATCGTGTGGAGGTAGGCACCGATATAGTTTGTACTGAGACAGAAATCAAGGACCCAAGCAGAATACACAATATGCGTATTGGATGAACAAGTGAAAGGAGTAGATTCTACCGAGAGGCTTGAAAACAAGATGTTGGAGGAAGACTAGTTCTATTAATAGGGAAGTGAATTAAGGTAATGCCCTATTTTAATTAGCTACTGGGGACTACAAGCACAGTGGATTGCAAACAGAGAGGTAGGGCAATAGCTTAGGAGGGTGTGAAGTAGGCAGAAAAGAATACTTGTTAGCATTGGGGTTAATCTGTTGAAATGGAGACAAAAGACGTTTCATGATTTAAATGAAGAGGAGGAAAGAGTTAGCATCTACTCTAAGCATCTCTAGGGGCTGGGCAAGGAAGCACTGGTAGAAAACTATACATGTCCTTGCTTATTATTGTCTGAGAAACAAAATCCATGTTGATAATATCTGTGATCCTGATCAAGTAACTGAACTGCATTTTAATAGATGCCTTCAATGCCTCAACCTCAGGAGTGACAGGGGTATAGAAAGTGATGGGGAGCATCTCTCAACGGCATTCCTCACACTGATACAATGGAGATGTTTGCTTACTCCGCTTGCAATCACAGCCGCCGTTGCAAACTTCACCCTTAGAAAAATTAGGATTATTCCGGGAAAGATACCCATTCACCCTCTGGGTAGCAGGATCTTGCCAATTCCTCAGCTGTCAGAGCGAGTTCGCAGAGAGAAGGGAGGCGCCTGAAGGAGGCAGCCTCCCAGGGGGTCGAGGAAGCAGGGTTCAATCGAAGAAGTAAAGCCACCGGTGCCAGAAGAGTGAAAGACAGGGAAGGGACTCAGCTGAGGGGAGAGAGAGATCAAAGGACCGTTAAGCCCCTCCCAGGCCGAGTACCAGATCAGCCCGGCCCATGCGGCCTGCCGCAGCCCAATCCCGCTCCCCAACCTGGAACTCCAGGCGCTCCCACTCACCTGCTCAAGCTCATCAGACGACTGGGAAGCAGAGGCTGCCAAGGTAGGAAATGCCACCGCAGCGCCAACCCGGAAGCATTGAAACGAACGGAAGTAACAAGGCGTCGCCTCGGCAACAGTGGCGCCGCCATCCTAACTCCGCCTCCTCTTTGCCCGAAAAGGAAGGCGCGAAAGAAAGGAAACCATTAGGGTCGAAAGGCCTGAGTCCCTAAGGCTGTGCAAAAGGGTCAGGAGCCAACCACCTGCCTTTCCGGAGAGGGAGCTAAGGTGGGAGAATGGGGCCGCTTCTGCAGCAGATGTGCTCTCCAGAGAGGGCAGAGGAGATGCCTTGTCACCCACCCGGAGTTTACCGGAGCAGATGGTCCGCTAAGCCTCAAAAACGCGAGGCGGTAGGAGGTGCATTGCATAGAGGGAGGTGGGACAAAGGATTTAAGATGGAAGTGGGAGAATTTCTTTTGCCTGCTTTTGGGACCCTTTTCCTATGGGGGCGGGAGACTGGGAGCAGAGGAGGGAGGGGCAAACTGCGATGGGGATGTAATATATGAGAGAAGAATAAATAAATACGTACATAAATAATTTTTTAAGATTGGGAGAATTTATATTTATTTATTTATTTATTTATTTATTTATTTATTTATTTATTTATTTATTTTGGTTTTTCGAGACAGTGTTTCTCTGTGGCTTTGGAGCCTGTCCTGAAACTAGCTCTTGTAGACCAGGCTGGTCTCGAACTCACAGAGATCCACCTGCCTCTGCCTCCCGAGTGCTGGGATTAAAGGCGTGCGCCACCATCGGAGAATTTAAGTAAAACTGAGAACTAGGACATGAGCGGAATTTAGACACTGAACCCAGGCTCAGAAAGAAAAATAAAGATGAGAGAAGCAAATAAGCCTCACCCACTGAATGTCAGCAGCAGTCTCTGAAAAATTACTAGCCTAGAGACAGAAACTTTGGAACAAGCTGGGAACAGAAAGGAGACCAGGAAAAGTTAAAGCAAACGAATCTGAAGAGAATAATGGGAGAGTACCAGCTAATCCGCATCTTACAATTGGCTAGAAAAGCTTGACCACCAGCTTCAGACCCCAGTTCCCACGGCCACTGGAAGAGAAAACCAGAAACTTCTGGGTAAATCCATTAGCTAAATTAATACATGAAGGCTACCCCCATTTTTTCACTATATCACAGTTTCCACAATCACACAAGTGTTAATGATAGTGTTTTTTATTTACATAGGTATAAGTCAATGAGTTCAAGGCACACAGTCCTGAGATTATTTGTTGAATAAGGTAATGTTTTGAATTGATTTATTCCAAAAGAATCTTCCTCATCTCCTTCACATCTACTTTTTAAAAATTTCTTCAGGCAGCACACATGATATAATAAATGACATTATGGAGCACTTAACCATGTGTCAACGTGATGCTAACAGCTCTTTTGCTTGAAGCTGCCTTACAAGGTTGATACTTTTATTTTCACCTCCTAACAACTAAGAAAAATTAGGTCATAAAAGTGAAGCAGAGTTATGTCATAACTGGCAGAATTTGGATTTCAACTTGAGATTGACTTCAGTGTCCAAACGTGCTTCTTGACTTGAGTGCCCAAGTGTGCAACTCTAAGAATGTCTTCTTTAGCCGGGTGGTGTTGGCTCACACCTTTAATCCCAGCACTTGGGAGGCAGAGGCAGGAGGATCTCTGTGAATTCGAGGCTGGCCTGGTCTACAGAGCAAGTTCCAGCACAGGCTCCAAAGCTGCAGAGAAACCCTGTCTCAAAAAATAAAAAATAAATCGAATGCCTTCGTTAATGTCAGAAACTTCATTACTCTAAAGATAAGAAACACGTGCATGCATTCCAAAATGAGAATTCTAGGAGGCAGAAGAGATGTCTCAGCAGTTAAGAGCACAAGCTGCTCTTCTTAGAGGACAAGAGTTCAATTCCCAACACTCAGTTCCCAAGGCTCAAAAGACCCCTGTAACTCCAGTCCCAAGAGATTTGGTGGCATCCACTGACACCAGGCACTCAAGTGGTGTGCAGAAATACATGCAAATAAAACACCCATACACATAAAATAAATATTTTCATTGTAAAATGTGAATTCTTTCATTTTAGACAACAGCAGAGCAACACCCTCTTAGACAAATGGATAAAATCCTGTGTGTAGAGTCCACATAACTTGGAAGGTTTGGACTCTCTTCAGTGACACATATATGTGTAGCTATTCATGTGGGAATCCTGTATATGTGTTGCTTTTATTGGTTAATAAAGAAGTTGCTTTCAACCAATGGCTTAACAGACTATAGATATATAGAGATATATAGATATAGAGAGAGAGAGCAGTCAGAGTCAAAGAGAAGCCATGTACCAGCCACCAGGGACAGAGGCCTCCACTGGAGCCTCCTGAAACTGCTGGTAGGCCACACCCTCGTGGTGATGCTCAGATTAATGGAGATGGGTTAGTTTAGGATATAAGAATTAGCCAGAAATACGCTTAAGCTATTGACCAAACAGTAATGCAAATAATATAGTTCCTATGTGATTATTTTGAGTCTGGGCGGCTGGGAAATGAACGAGCAGCCTCCTCCAACAAGCTATGGCCTGGGATTGTGTTTCACATCCAATTCACTGAAACTTGTAGAATTATGGCCTGCCCCTTGGGCAAATCACTATCTTAGCTTTTGTACAAAACTGTGTTTTCCCACTCAATCACTACTTCCAACAGTTAATCTAGGTATCAACTAGGTAAATTTTTAAAGGGTTCATTGTTTTTAAATGACTCATGTTTAAAATTCTACATGTGAGCAAAAACAATAGCAATTTAGGAACATAAGCATATGCCACACTAACACATTTGCAGTTTGGTTGCATTATTTCAGTTTTTACATTCTTTAGTGCTATAACACGAAAATCTAATCCTCCTTATCAAAGTTGTATATTTCCCTTATAAATTACCTTCTATTATCTAGTCTCTCCCATAAAGACCAGTTTTTGACCACACATATTCTGTCTAATTATATAAGCTATTCAAGAGGATAGAATCATGAATTCTAACTCTAACGTAACTTGGAAATGTTTTATAGACAATTGTTGAGACCCTGGTAAAAAAAAATCTCTTGCTGCTTCTAAGAGCTACCCTTTCCCTCTCCATTTACCCTTCATATCAGCATTGAGTTCTTTCCAGACTGCCACAAAGAAAGAAAAAAAGAAATTCTTTAAGACTGTGTCAACTTCGAGATACAAGCCAATTTCCTTAGATTAGCGGGGGTTTCTAAATCTTTTTCTCTTTTTTCCTCCACTTAGAGGGTCAACCTAGGACCTCATGCACGCATGCCAGACAATTGTGTTTCCACTGAGCTCCAACCTAACCCAATATATTCAAAACACTCCTATTTCAGATTATAGTCAGTAGAAACTACTAATGAGGCAATTTCGGCTATTTGGGGCCAAATCGGTGTGTAACTTATACTTGCATTACTCCTCAGATTCAGACGAAGCACTTTTCAACTGCTTGGCAGCCACATGTGGTAGGTGGTCACCACACAAGGCGACAAAGATCTGCCTCATTGCTCTGTCTGATGCATTGTCACATGCCTTCTCCAGAAAGCCCTCAACGGAGCATCCAGCTCCCTGTTACTCAACTGAGACTAGCTAACAATATTAGGAACACTTGAAGCTGGTAAGAAATTCTGATAGTTGGACTCCAGCCAAGTCCTATTTAAAACAGAATTAGCATTTTGCACGATGCCTATGCAATTAGTTTGCATATGAAATCTTAGGAAGACTGCTTTCACCTCTTCTTGAACACATCCAATTCATACCCGAGGCCTATACTACCCTTAAGTGGTTCGAAATTATGACAAAAACATTTATCAATCTTTTATTGAATATTCTTCATAATCCCAGAACTATATCGTATGTAAAGAGCATTATGAGGTAGGGGCTAATTTTGGCTCCTTATCTTTTGTGGTTGTTACTTATTGCTTTGTGGGAAAAAATAGAACTTTTCATAAAAGTTAAAATTTTTTATCTTTTTTCTTGTATTGTGGGAAAATGTTTTATTTTAGAATAATTTGGAGGATGGCATGGTGTCACATGCCTTTAGTCCCAGCACTCAGGAGGCAGAGGCAGGTGGATCTCTTTGAGTTCGAGGCCAGCCTGATCTATAAATCGAGTTGAAGGACAGCCAAGCTCGTTACCCAGAGAAAGCCTGTCTTGAAAAAGAATCTAGACTAATTTGGGTTTACAGAGAAGTTATAAAGATCCTGCTCTCACCAGCTTCTCCAAGCTACCCCTAAATGCTAACATTTATGGAACTTGGCATGTTAGTTAAAAAGCAAGACATTTATGTGTTATGACACTACTAACAGAGACATTCTGAGTTCTCCAGCTTTTACACATATTTCCTTGAACCATTATAGCTTCCAATTAAGGATAATACTTTACATTCAACTCCCACATCAGCTCCCATAAATAACAGAGGACCTAGTATAGACCCGTACCGTGCAGAACCCTGCCTGTACAGGGTTAGGGTTAGGGTTAAGGTTTGTTGCTTCAGTCTCTGTGAGTTCATATGAGCTTTGATCATGGTGATTTAGAGGGCCTTGTTTTCTTGGTGTCCTCCATCTTACTGTTCTCTCTCTCTCTCTCTCTCTCTCTCTCTCTCTCTCTCTCTCTCTCTCCCTCTCTCCTGCTTTTATTTAAAAATAGATTTTTTTTCTCACATAATATATTCTGATTATGGCTTTCTCTACTCCCAGTTCATCCCAATTTCCCCTCCCTTTTGTCTCTCATTAGAAAACAAAAAGGCTTCTAATGGTATATAATATAATAATGCAATGAGATAAATCAAAAACTAACACAGGAATTGGACAAAATAAACAGAAGGAAAGAACAAAAGAGAAGGCATAAGAAACAGATACCCATTTCTTTGCACTCAGGAGTCCATAAAAAACACTAAACCGGAAGCTATAATATTTAACAGAAGACCTGGTGCAGACCCATGCATGCCCTATACATGCTGCTTCAGTCTCTGTGAGTTCATATGAGCTTTGGTCGTGTTGATTTAGAGGGCCTTGTTTTCTTGGTGTCCTCTCTTTGCTCCGACCTTTACACTTTTTCTGCTTTATCTTTCACAGGGATTTGATGGAGCCACCCCATTTAGGGCTGGATGTTCTAAGGTCTCTCACTCTCTGCATGATATCTGGCTGTTATTTGTCCCCCTCTGCTTCGAGCTGTGTCAGGTACGGATTCCATCTCATGGAATGGTTCTTAAGTCAAATCAGGAATTGGGTGGTTACTCCCACAGCTTTGGGCCACCATTGCACTAGCACATTTTAGAGATGGGACACCATTGTAGATCAAAGGGCTTGTGGCTAGGTTGTTGGTGGTGTTTCTCTTTTGAGAGCTTGCAGAGTACCTTTGTGTATGAAACACTAGCACATAGGGGTGTAGGCTCTTTGAGGAACCAGCTCATCTTCTCCATGTTCAAGGAGTTGTGTAGATGTTGTCTTCAGCAATGGGGACTTGCTGTCAGTTTCTGGAAAACAACCTATAGTCTTAGTCTTGTCAACAGCCTGGGTTGTTGAGGATTCCCATGGGACCCCTTTGGCCAACAACTCAATTAACTGTAACCCAATCCCAGTACTGGAAACTTCATTTGATTCCAAGAGAGATCTAGTTGAGACTCTGTCTCATCTATTATTTGGTGATTTCATCTAGATTGCTTCTTCATATATGTACATATTTTAGGAAGCTTCTACTCTATTAGGTTTCCATATTACCCCTCAAATGATCCTTCATTTTAGCTGTATCCTCCTGTATTCTTTCCCTCATCTCCCCTTCTCTCCCCCTCACAATTTGATCCTCCCATTCCAGGCTCTACCTCCATCCATAACTATCTATTCTAGTTCCCTTTCCTAGGAAGATCTATCTATTCACTATAGTTCCTTACTCTAGCCTATACCTAACTTCTGTGGTTCTACAGAGCTTAGTTATCATTGTCTTAGCAATTTATATCCTCCATGTAAGTTAATACATACCATATTTATCTTTCTGAGTCTGGGTACCTCACTCAGGATGACTTTTTTTGTAGTTGATGCATTTA